AATTTAATAAACATTTTCTGATTTTAATAAATATTTTAAAAAATACTAACTAGTTAATATTTTATTACTTGAAAAATATTTTATGTTTTATATTATAAAGTAATTAATTTATTCTTTTGTTTTTATATTTTGTTAATTCTTTTTTATAAATATTTTATTTGAAATATTAATGGAATAATCTATATTAATTTAATATACTAATATATTATATTTTTAATGTACATTAGTTGACATCCTGTCAACATTAGTCAACATCTTGTCAACATAATAGGAAAAACTGTATTTTTTATTGGTTCAGTTTAAGTTGCCAGGCCATCATGATCATGAAATAAAAAAATGAAATGCATTTAGGAAGACAAAACCATAATAAAAGTTAATAAAGAAGGATTTTCACCAGGTTTTAAGAGAAATTGCAATAATACGTACTCAAACTGTTCTGGCTACAGGCTGACTTTCCATAATTCATTCTTCCAGTCCAGTCCAGATTTCAAAGTATTGTCTTCCAGAGTTAAATACACCGGTTCTCTATTCTGTCGCTTCACTTCTTGGCTGGGCATATAAACCTTATTCTATATGGTCTTATAAGTTATAAAAACTCCTTTCTATGGTTTTAAATGATATTTTTTACAAATTTCTCTAGTGGCATGCCATCGTTTCAAATTTATTATTTTGACTTTGAACTTTTATGGTGAAATGATACTAATACATAATTAGTTGGAGCTTCTTTAGTTGAGTTCTCACTGTGCCATCTGGTTGGCTTATATTTTGACACTGCCTCTTGTACTCACCATGACTCACATGTTAATTGTTGTCTGAAAAGCGTGAAAACTTCAAGGCTACAGCAAGTTCAATAGGTGTTCAATCACAGCTGAACGCACTTGCAACAATAATTAAAATGGTTGATCCAAAGCTTCATCAACACCTTGGTATGCCTTTTTCTAACTCTAATAGAAGCCAAAATGAAATTCTTTTTTTTTTTTATTATTATCTTTTGCAACCAGTTGCAGCTTCATATTAGTTTTTAATGTTTCATCATCATCTGTTGGCCTAACTGTGGAAAAGCTTACTTGCCCGAGATTACAGAGAACACATATTCTCAAATTCTTGGGGAATGTTCTGTTTCTTTTTTCATTTTTTTCTTTGATCAGATAAAGAATTTCAATTCCTTGTTTTGCTAAACTTGGAGCATATCCTGTTGTGTTGGAATTGAGAAAAAAACCCATCATAAGCTCAACTCTCTACACCCTCAAACATCCTTATAGTTGATAATAAAAAATGTGTCCAGAAATGATAGAAATACAACAAAAACTTAAATCCTTGCAACACATTAAGGGATACCTTGAGTTTTGTGGTTAGTCTGCATTAGAATCTGTCTGGCATATGTCTGACACACAAATTAAAATATTCATGTTCTTGATATCATTTTAGGGCCCATTTGAATACAGGAAATTTGAGAAAATGAAATATGTGATGTTCCTGAAACCTTTTTTGTTTTTAAAAAAGAAAGGATATGCATTTTTTAAATTGGCATCACCATAGTTTTCAAGGCGCCAAGGCGAGGCTGGGCATTAGGGGGGTGCCTTGTCGCCTAGTCGCCTAGGCAATGGATTTTTTTATATAAAGAACATAGATCCTAGGGCAGTTTCCTAGGTACCATAACCATATTTCCTTAATAACTATTCATAATTTTCATACGAAAAGTATAGAGTTCATGTTAAAGTATAGAAAATGTGTTGATTAGACAAAATTTTAAGTTCTTCCTTACTTATTGGTTCAGGTTTTAAAGTCTTTGAGGGTTCAATACAGCATTTAGCAATGTTTGTATTGATTAAATCCTAACAAATAAAAAATAATAAAAACAAATTAGTATATAAACATACAAAATGGATATTTTAGTTTAATAATGCCTATTTTATAATTATAATGTCAAAAAATAAAGAATAAAAAAGTATTTTATAATACATAGTACAAAACTGCTTGGCGATTAGACGAGGCGAGCCTCAAAGGGCGCCTTGTTGTCTAGGCGTCGCCTTGACAACTATGGGCATCACAATTATTAAGGCTGCTTTGGAGATAGTCTAAAACTAGTGCCATCTAAATCCATGAAAATCCGAAGTGCAGTAAAAATAAAAGCTTGGAACATCAGCATTTGTGGATCAAAAGAGGTTCTTATAGTCATCCAATTCTTCTTTTATTCTCTTTTTCCATTTTGTATTGATAAAATAAGTAGCTTAAGAGAAATGATAAAGGAGTACACCCATAAAAATGAATCTTCAGGCTGATGCCAGTATCAGCCCCCCTATACACCCATCAAAATAAAAATGGGGTAATCTAGCAAGAGGTCCAATGGTGCATGTTATTTGCTGATGACATTGTTTTAATTGATGAAACTTGTTCCAACTTCAATAAAAAAAAAGTGAAGAAAAGAATAGAAGAAAGAAAGAGAAGATAGGAAGAGAAAGGGAAGGGAAAGAGAAGAAAAGGAGAAGAAAAGAGGGAAGACTAGAAAGGAGAAATCTATTCACTTCTCCTTACTGTCGACCCAGGTTGTATTAGCATTCTACTAAGGCTGAAATGACTACAATACCCTTAGGAAAGTTACAACAGATATAAGAGAGAAAGAATAACATGAAAAAGACACTGCCCTTGTTAACTACTTCTAACAATTCTAACACTCCCCCTCAAGATGGAGCATATATATCATAAAGTTCCAGCTTGTTACAAATATAGTCCATCCTTGAGCGACCCACACTTTTAGTAAAAATATCAGCTACTTAGTCTTCAAATTTAACATAGGGAGTAACAATCTCTCCACTTGTCACTCTCTCTCTCTCTCACGAAATGGCAATCAACTTCAATGTGTTTAGTCCTTTCATGAAACACTGGATTAGAGGCAATATGTGTTGCAGCTTGGTTGTCACAAAACAATTTAATGGGTTGACAAATTGTGATATTCATCTCTCGAAGAAGATGCTTCAACCAGACTAGCTCACAGGTATGGGCCATTGCCCTATATTCACCTCAATGTTTTAAAAGGCGTGGGAGGCATACGCCTGGAGATGGAGGCGCTCTCAAAATGCCATGAGGCTTATGCTAGAGGCGCTGACACCTCTGAGATGTACTCCTCAGGTGCAAGAGGCGTACGCCTCATGTGCCTTTTTCATGAGGCATGCTAGAGGCATATGCCTCATGCACATCTTATATAAAAAGACAGAAAAAAAAGGAAAGGAAAGGAAAAGAAAGGAAAAGAAAGGAAAAGAAAAGAAAGGGAAGGGAAAGAGCCCCCCCCCTTCAACTAATGTTATGCATCTTTATTCTTCTTAATATAAAACATTTTTATTAAAAATAAAGAAAAAATAAGATCCCCCCTTCCTCTTCATCCTCCTAACCCCCCTCTTCTTAAGGAGGCTAACGCCTCCTTGTGTTTGGGAGGCTTACGCTTCTTGCGTTCTGAACTACGCCTCACGCCTCTAGGTAGTGGAACGCCTTGCATCACGCCTTCGCGTTTTAAAACATTGATTCAGCTTCAATGCTACTCCTAACAACTACGTTCTGCTTCTTGCTCTTCCAAGTAACGAGATTTCCATACAAAAAAGTACAATAACCTATAGTAGACTTCCTGCCCATTGCAGACTCTGCCCAATCTGCATCTGAGTACCCTACCAGAGACATATCTCCCCCTTTCTTATACAAAAGCCCTCAACCAGGAGCACCCTTTAGATACTTCAGCACCCTCATAACACCATCCCAATGAGTAGCTGTTGGATTCTACATGAATTGACTGAGGACTCCAACACTAAAGGAGATGTCAGGCCTAGTGATGGTAAGATAGATCAACTTGCCTACTAGTCTCTAATACCTTGTAGGCTCTTCTAATGGCTCCCCCTGACTATCAGTCATCTTTACATTGGGAGTTTCAACTGGCTTGGATCATAACAACTCAGTTTCATCCAACATATCTAAAACATACTTTCTTTGGGACAAATAGATTCCCCACTTCAATTGAGCTATCTTAATTTCAAGAAAGTACTTCAAGGTTCCTAGGTCTTTAGTTTGAAAGTATTGCTGTAGGAATTGTTTCAACTTATCAATTCCATGTGTATCATTGCCAATAAGAAAAATATCATCAACAAACACTGCTAGAATGATCTTCCCAGATGATGAGTCTCTACAAAGCACAAAGTGATCAACACTGCATTGCTTCAAGCCAAAATCTTGCACCACACTACTAAAACGACTGAACCATGTCCATGGTAATTGCTTCAGCCCATAGATAGCCTTCTTCAATTGACACACCTTTCTTGACTCCCCCTGAGCAACACACCTAGGAGGTTGCTCCATATATACCTCCTCTTGAAGATCACCATGGAGTAATGCATTTTTTACATCAAGTTGAAATAGGGGCCAACCAAAGTGGACAGCTAAAGAAATGAGCACTCGTACAGAACCTATTTTAAGCCACAGGAGAGAAGGTTTCTGAATAGTCCACACCATAGGTCTGAATATACCCCTTTATAACAAGTCGAGCTTTGAACCGCTCAATACTGCCATCTTGACGGTGTTTAACTGTATATACCCATCGACAACCAACGGCCTGCTTCCCAGGTAGTAATGAAGTGAGATTCCAAGTATTATTGGACTGAAGAGCATGAAATTCTTATCGCCTTCTTCCAGTTAGGAGATGAGAGGGCTTCCTGTAGAGAACACAATAGAGAAATAGAGGATAGAAGGGAAATGAAATGTTGATGTGAAGGAGATGAAATTCTTATCGCCTTCTTCCAGTTAGGAGATGAGAGGGCTTCCTGTAAAGAACACAATAGAGAAATAGAGGATAGAAGGGAAATGAAATGTTGATGTGAAGGAGACAAGTGAGCCAAGGACATACCGAGAAAGAGGTGATCTATGCAAGTATGCTTACCTTTACGAAGGGAAAAAAGGAAGATCAAGATCTGAGGATGGTGGATCTATCAACGGCAAGATTTTGGTGGCATGTCAGAAGCTGGAGTTGGATCACCTACTGGCAACAATTCTGGTTGTTTATCACGTCTAGAGTACACTGTGAATAGATGGTTGAATAGGCTCCTCCATAGTAGGCAAGAGAAGGTTCACGTCCAGAGAAATAGGGTAAACTCTCAAAGAAGGTAAAATCCGTAGCAACAAATGCTTTCCGTAAAATAGGATCATAACATTTGTAACCTTTTTGAGTACGAGAGTAACCAAGAAAAACACATCTAATAGCTCTGGAGTCAAGTTTATCATGGCTTGGACCCAATTTGTGAATAAAACACACACAACCAAACACACGAGAAGGAAGAGAGAAAGGCGAGGTGGAAGGAAATTACAATCACATGGCAATTTTTTCTCTCAACCACACCATTTTGTTGAGGAGTGTGTGAACATGAGGACTGATGTATAATACCATGAGAGTCAAAATAAGACCAAAAATTATTATGAAAGTATTCATTGGCATTATCTGAATGAAACCCTTTAATGCATACACCAAATTGATTCCTCATCTCAGCATGAAAAGATAGAAAAATAGAGAACAATTCTGAATGATCCTTCATTAAGTAAATCCATGTCATTCTTGAATAGTCATCAATAAATGTTAAAAATATCTAAATCCATTATAAGATGACACACGACTAGGACCCCAAACATCTAAGTGGACTAAAGCAAAAGGACTCAAGACTCTCTTATCATCCTTAGGAACAAAAGACACTCTATGATGTTTACTCAACTGACATGACTCACAATCTAGCTGAGTTACAAACTCCAAGGTTGGGACTTGCTTTTTTAGAACACACAGAGAAGAATGACCAAGACGACAATGCCACTGATGTGGTGTAAGAGAGGAATGAAGAGCCTTCTGAGGACCATGATCATCCAAGTAGTACAACCCTCCAACTTCACGACTGCCACCAAT